ACTTGCGGGCCTCGGCCTCCCCCGGGGAGGGGAGGAGGGGGGAGGCGGAGAGTTTTACTCTGGACCGGATATTTTCTACAGCAACTTAGCTTTAGTAGCTTTTACAGGGAATTCCCTACCGGATAAACTGGACCGGAAAAACAACGGCCTTACAGGAAATCCATAGGGGAAACCCTAGAATAACCGAACGGGGAGCAGCTGCCCCCCACATATCCGGTATCTCAAAACAAAGGCTGGAGTCTACTGCACTACAGCAGATAAGTCCAACATCGTAGGCATCCCTTCGCGTTCGCTACCGCCATGACTACCCGCGGCGATATCTAGATTTTGTTTTGGGCGCACTATTTACAATAGGTTCCAACCCTTTCTATATCAAAGTCCGGCCATGCGATATTCCGGCCATTGTGTGGTGGGGTTGTTTCTTCACAGAGCCCGTTGTTCTACGTATGTATGTGTATCTTCGGGCGTTGTTCTGTTTGTTTTCTTCGCCTTGCCGGTCCCATCCTCGACAACAGCCAGAAGTAGCTATCCTCTGCCTCCCGTGTTGCCATACAGTACACCCCTCTTACAACCTGCTGTCGAGGCGCAATTGCAGTCGCTATACCTTCACTGCTCGGTCGTTGTGAAGCCAGAAGTTGCCGTCCTTTAGTTGCTGTGCCCGGTCCGATTCGACGGGTGCAAGTCAGAATTGCGATCCTCCGCTTCCCGTGTTGTTAACGCCCCGCGTACAACGCCCCGCCGAGGCGGAATTCGAAGCTGCTAGATATACGCCGCAAGGAGTGTCGTTAGGGCAAGTCCGAAAATACATGTTATGTGTTTGCTTGTACAACTTCTTACAACCCCCATCGGTGCAGAAGTCGAGTCGCAATACTCTCCCTGCCCTGATGAATGCAAGCTAGCAGCTGCTGCACTCCGCTTGCGGTGTTGCTATACTCTCCGCTTACCACTCCCAACCGCCCCCCCGGTGTTTGCCATCGGGGTTGGGTTTTCTTCGCTTGGCAACGACGTTGTAAAACAAGCCGCCCCCTCGGTGTTTACCATCGGGATTTGGTTTTCATCGCTTGGCAACGACGTTGTAAAACAAGCCACTTCACTTCGTGAACTCGGCAACCTGGTTACCGTCTTATTTTTTACCTCTGTTTTTTTTGGCGGTAACCATAATGAATGGTGGTCGAGTAGATCATGTTGTGCGGGGTGGAGAACCCTCACTCCGCGCAAGGGGGATGATCGCACCACGTTGTGTTAAAATGGTCAAGCACCCTCGAGGCAGTTACACAGTGCTTACAACTGTCTCAGGAAGTGAAAGCACCAGAAAATAAATTAAGTCATACGCAGCTGTCATCCGTACGCAAGGAAGTAAGCACAAGATGCCGAAAACCCTTAGCAGGATGCAGCGCACCCTTCATGCGACTCGCCGAATATCTCACGGCGCTTCGCGCTTGGTGATGTGAGAGCCTGGTCCGGTGAGAACCCGGCGGCAACCAGCTTACAGATTGTTTTTTTTTTACGTCAT